TTTGAGATTATGCGCTAAAAATGTACACAGAGCTTTTATTTATCTTTCAGCAAAAGCTGGAACAAATTTTTGTTATAATTTGTTAGCAAAACGCAAGGTAAATTCGCCCTTGCCCATATGATTATCATGTGCTAAGAAATCATGTTTCGCATTTTCTGACAAACGTATTATTTTGAGTTGTGACGGTGTGCGATATGTATGTATGTATATATTAGGGCTCATGATACCCGGGTAAGGCATCACTCGGGTCAAATCATCAGCCCTAGTATATACATATGTATATGTGCATATGTATGTAAAATCACTTACCAATCATTTTCAAAACACTTCATTCGTAATACCTGGGCTTGTTCGGAAACGCTCCAATTTAACTACATGCAGAGTGGAGATGTTGGGAATTTTTTTATTGAACTGAACTCATTCTCGATCAAAATTTCAAGGCAACACCACTCTGTAATTACCAAAATGTACAAATCGTGTGATACCTGCTTTATGCGGGTACGTATGTACATACATACATATGTATGTATATATTATATACAAGTGCGCACTTATGTGCATTTTCGAAAATACTGGGCCAAGAAACTCAACCGGACGGAAACACACTCACGAATACGCTACCGATACGACGATATCACGGTCAGTACGACAGCATGATCAGTATTTCAGCGGAAGTCCTTCGGTGCATTCAACTGTTTACTGGTGCATCAAAAGATATAGCGGCGAAACACGAAAGGCAGTTCATTTATAAAATCGCGACCATCACGAAAACACTCCCATCTTCCCATTACAGCCCAACCAGCAGCAGCAAGTTAATTGTTTACAATCAGTTTTTTATTTAATATTAATTTGTGCACGCCCAATTGCGCATGAATTAGGCACTTAATTTGACCGCGACACAAATCAGCTCCTCGCTTTCAATTAGACAATTTACTAATATTTCTTCACAATTTTACTCCATTACAAGAAGCACCTTACTATATTTGCAATGCAAAATATATTTTGCATTTTATTATTAAACATCTTTGCACAAAATCTCACTTTTTTTGCCCAGAAATTTTCATTCTGCAACAGACGCCAATTGACAACCAACTACCGTTACTGCAATCGACTACATATGCATATGCATACACACACACGCACACACTTTCTTTCGATCGTTCAACTTTCGTTGACAATTCAATTGTCTCATCTCTCTGACGCGAACACTGCTGGAATTACTTTTAAGTTAATTTCCGTTTCCTACTCACTCACACTCATTGCATTTAATGCAAAACTACAAACATCCTTTGCATACATGTGGATAATGCAGTACTTTGTGAGTAACGCAGTATAGCCGTCATCGATTCGCCAACAGTTAGCAAGTGGCGAAACGAACGAATTCAATGAGGTACAACCAAACTCGCTATCGTCTATCCGTGCTAGCTAACTTTGTTGTTGCTTTCACATGCAAAATTGTTCGTTAAGCGACCGGAACTCAAACATAGCAAGCAGCGAAGTGGCGAATCGATGACGGCTTATATTTCAGGAACCCAAAATACAAGATCACGCAGAAATGCGACCTCGTATTTGTAGCTGGGGTAATTCTCTAGGGTGGGGTAACAACCCCTAAAAAAGGTGCGGAAAAGTCGGGAGGGGTTCCAAACGACGCGTTTCGGCCCCCCTAATAACAATCCGGAGGGGGGGGGGGTGATAATATTATTAACCATTTAAAAGTTATGAACAAAAAACTTTTGTTAAATTTCGTTGTTTTCTATGAGCAATTACCACGTCAAAAATGCAATAAATCACCAGTTTCCACTTTTAAAACACTACTAAAACGTTTCCGGTTATTATTTTATGCAAACCAAATCATTTATTCACTTTTATTTTATATATTTCGTTAACAAAACAGAGTAAACAAACTTTGCGCCTGCTAAAATTATTATAACCTCAAATCGCTGGTATTGCCACTTTATTTCAAATTTCATTTGCGCTATTATACTCAGTTTACACTATACACTTCTTCTTTTTACTTTCATCAAAATAAGATATTGTAACCAAAATATAATAGCAAATTTCGCTATACCATCGCGCGATTTTTTATTAAAAATTTTCATTATTTATATATATATTAAACGAAAGAAGATACCGAAAAGCATTGAACAGTGCACACATCTCATAAGGAAAAGTGAATTATTACGAAATACTAATACAGTGGCAGCACTATAGCTATTTTGGAATCTCGCGTTTCAGCTGGCAAAGATTGTCAACTTCTTTTTAATAACAAAATAATCTATCTTAGGTTGATAAAACTATGTGTTTCTTTAATAAACAAGTTAAATTATATATTTTAATAGTGTTTAAAAAGTGAGAACAGGTGATTTGGTGAATCTTTGTCGGTGTAATTGCCCATAGAAAACAACGAAATTTAACAAAAGTTGTTTGTTCATAACTTTTAAATGGTTAATAATATTATCTGCCCCCCTCCGGATTGTTATGAGGGGGGCGAAACGCGTCGTTTGGTACCCCTCCCGACTTTTCCGCACCTTTTTTAGGGGTTGTTACCCCACCCTAGAGAATTACCGTAACTGGTTTTGGGAAAAAAGATTGTGAAAGCGGGTCCGTCAGCTGAGCATTTCTTTACATCACAAGCACCACTAATTTACACTTTTCTATAACTATAGAAGAGTTAATTCAACACTTTTTAATGAATAATTAAATAAGAAGAACGAATAAACACGGTTCGATATGTAAATGGTGAGATACAAATGGCAATTCAATCGTAAAAAAGTATTTTTGCTGGCCGATTTCTCAGTCGAGAATGACTGAGTTAGCGGCAAGGCACAGCTGATTTTATTTATTTTTTTTCAAATTGATTGGTCTCGAAATAAACAAGCGAGGTTAGGTTGTTTTATTTGTTTGCTTTTATTTGTTTCCTTCTCAAAATTTTTGGTATTTCTTAAATAAAAATTAACGAATCATTAAATATTGATGAATTTGCAAAATTTATTTATGAAAACTTTTTATATATACCTACGTACTAACCATCTTCAATTGCATCGGTTCCTGGTCCACTTCCCGGAAGAAAAGAATCACACATGCTAATCTAGGGAAAAAGCTACTTAGGTACCAAGTTTTAAGCACATCGGACCCATATATGTAATACTTCTATATTGGTAGTAAGCTAACATCTCAATGTGTAAGCATTCCGAAATCAAAGCGAGACAGTCTAGTACTGTTTTTGTCAATTGTATTGTGTACTTGAGTGCCGTTTTTGTAAATGTGTCGTGTACATGTTTATTTATAAACGTATGTGTTCCTTTTCTTTCGTACATGTTTATTGATATATCTGTACTGTAGTGTTTTCGGACGGTACTAGCTCTTACTGCCAATATAGGAGTATTACATATATGATCGGACCATAATTAGATTTTTTCGAATAAATCGGTCCCTGGTCCACTTCTCGGGAATCTTAAGCAAATCGGACCATAAATACGATTTTTTCGAATAGATGATCCCTGATGCACTTCCCGGAAAAAAGGATCCTATATGCTAATCTAGGTAAAAAGCTACTTAGGTACCAAATTTTTTGCAAATCGGACCATAATACGATTTTTTCAAATAAATCGGTCCCTGGTCCACCTACCGGAAAAAATTAAATTTTTGTTGGCCTAAAACGTGGTGGTTGCTGAAAGATATTTATGTACAAAATTTCATAAAAATCGGACCAGCCGTTCGCAAAATTACCTGTTACAAAAAAGGGACTTCTCTTTCTATAATTGGCTTTATGATTAATCAACATTATGAGTAGAGTGAGTAATCAACATTTCAAAGTAGTGTTTACATATAAAGCAGTTAAAGTTCCTTGATAGTTTGAAAACAACGTTTCTGTTTCCAAAAATTTAAATGAATTTTTTTTTCTTATACAGAATGTAAAAAAGAAAATAAGCATTTTCCAAAGCAAGCTCTTTTAACGAGCAAAATTAATTTTTTTTTGAGTAATCATCTTTCAAGTAACTCGATTAATCATCGTTTTGAGTAATCAAAATCATGATTACTAGAGTAATTGATTAACCGAATAACTGATTAACCAACTTGCTCGAGTAATCGAATAATCGCACAGCCCTAATCTATACTAAGGGCCGGTTACTCAATGTCTGGTTATCACTAATCTCCGGTTAAACATAGTTATCGACGTTACCGACTCCCTGTTGTATACATTATACGATGAGACCCGTTGGGCAATAACTAATTACCGCCTTGGCCTCTGTTTTGGCGGGCAAACATGCATACAATTTTTATATTTTTTATTAGTTTTTAATTGTTAATATTTTTGAGAATATTCATTTTATGAGTGTTGGCGTATCAAATGAAAGCTTTTGGCTCTTTCTGATTGGCTGAAGCAGAAAGCTTTCTGATACAACTCTGCGCTGAACTGTTTTTCAAACGAGTTAAACAAATTAACTGGTAAAATTTTCGAACAACAACTGCATGCGATTTAACTTGTTTATTAACACGTTTTGTTCATTTAACTGGTTCCAGCCCATTTAACATGTTTAACTCGTAAATTTGAACGTAATATAAGTTTATTAATTGCTCTCAATTCTTCTTTTTAGGGGCTATCGATAATGATGGAACTCTTACGAAACCGCTTGGCTATTTTATGGCCGAAATGCCACTTCCACCAATGCTCAGTAGAATGCTTTACATGTCAGTTTCCATGGGCTGCTCCGAAGAGATTCTTACTATAATTTCTATGCTTCAAGTGGAATCGGTTTTCGCCCAACCAGCCACCGGACAAGGCCAGATAAAGGCACGAGTAGCCAAACGTCACTTCGAAGTTGCCGAAGGCGATTTACTTACTTTACTAAATGTTTTCACGGCATTTGTTGAAAATGATCAGAGCAAACAATTTTGTCGTACATACTATTTAAACTATCGCAATCTCAACTGTGCACATGAATTGCGCGAACAATTGGTAAAACTTGCAAAGAAACATACAAACATTTCCTTGAAATCATGTGAAGGAAATGTAGAAACGATTTGTAAATGCATTACATCGGCATTTTTCCTCAATGCAGCATATCTTCATTATACAGGTGTCTATAAAAGAATACAAGGAGGTCTTGACTTATACATACATCCACTTTCAACGTTGTATACATTGCCACAACCACAATATATTCTTTTCACAGAATTGGTTCATACGACAAAACTTTTTATGAGCAACGTAACTGTTATTCGCGAGGAATGGTTAGCTGAACTATCGTCGCATTACTATTATAAAACATCTGGATAAGCGCACTTAAACCTTTGCCAGTCAGATGACATCTTATTTGTGAAAATTGTCGTGTTCCAAATTTCCACAAAATTCCACACAACATCTGGATAAAAATTTCATTAAATAAAAGCATTACTTATTAAATTCAAAAAGGGTATACTAATTTTATTCCCCAAATTTCTAATTTAGTCTCAAGTTTATCGCTGTCACTGGACTACCCAGCCAGCAAAATCATCGTAAACGTACTTTTTCGCTTGAAATTGTCGAGCGCCTGCGAACAGTCGTAAACGGATCGAAAAGGCATTCGTATGCGAATATTATATATTATAAAATATTGTGGTTCAAGGGAAATTTCCAACAGAATGACAATTTTTGCTTGTGCTGACAAATTACTACAAGCCTCTTTCTTTTTTTATGAGCCTTTCTCTAACTATTCGCCGATCGATAATCCCTGGTAAAACATAATGTTCGTAAAATGTGCGTTTTCTTGCTCGCTGGGTATGCACAAGTGTACATATGTATGTGTGTATACAGCCGGATTTTGGACGGAAGCGTTTGCAGTTGACAAAATGTCGCAAGCCACATGTTTATAGCGTACGCAACATTTCCAATCTATAACAGGCTTGAAGTGTTTTTAAAGGAAAAAGCATGCCTAATCGCACTTAAACTGTTGCCAGTCAGATGTACATATTTTTCGCCATAAATGAAATAATGACATCTCATTTGTAAAAATTGTCGTGTTTTTGTTCTTGGTTAATGATACATTCTCCCAGGTAGAGAATGTTTTTCCCAGCATTGACGTCGCGATTCCAGCAAGTACGGCAGTTGGGACAAAACTGGTACCTGTGTGGCGATTTGGACGTCAGGTTTAAGCTGAAATTAGTTAAGAACGCAGAACGTATACTTAAACGCAGTCTGTATACGCAGAATTTTGTCGATTACTGGAGCCCTCAGTGTTGCTTACTACATGTTGCCACTCATCAATGCCTTTTCACTACAATGGCCTTTTCAACTACAATTGCTCGTGCTATAATAGATCGTAGCTAAATATAAACTACTTAGTTTTCAACAAAAAACCTTATCCAAAGTAAATTTCAAATATTTGAAACGTATTTTGTTAGGAACTTATAACTTTTTTACCATCTGCAAAACTGGCGAGTGGCAACCATCTATAGAGGGAAGAAATCAGCTGACACGGAAAAATCTAAATTCCGCTACGGGCTACAACTGCAGAAAAATTCCGCGGTGTTGAGTTTTCATTTACATGGCGCTTTGGTAAGACAGATCGTGTCAGCTGACCCGGGTTTACGTACCGGTAGGTTTACGTTCTGGACTAATTTAAGCTTTATGTTGTAACAATTTGCGCAAAGTTTGGTCGTTCTGAATTCATTAACCATCAGAATATCTGTATTAGAGGTTTACGCCGACAGGCCTTGCGGCGGCGGCGTGGTCAACTTCAAAAAGAATCGGCGGCGGCGGCGACGCCGGCGCATCTGGAAACACCGGCGCTACTGCCCATGAGGCAGATTCCAAAGAGCCATGAGGCTACTAATCTTATCATGTCGTCTCGTCAGCGTTAGGCATTCGCCATGCCAATTCAGATTATAATTCTATTTAATTTGTTCATTGAACTAGTTTTAAATTTAAATTACGATGGACGAACAGAAGAAGGTCTTAAGCTAACTTTAAGTTGATTAGGAAGGAGCTAAAAGTCACTTATTATCTGTATATTTTCTTTGACGAAAGCTAACTATATTTCCATGACGATGGCCGCGAAATAGTCAAGGGTGGTTTACCTCTGCATTAGATGTAACTAACTTGTAACTAACTACTTTTGGACATAAAATATCAATAGGAAAAACAAAATATTTTTTTATATTATTTTTATTTATTTTTTTTTATTTACTTTATTAGATTTCATATTTGTTTTCATATTCTGCTGTAGGTGGTCCCATATTCGAACTCCGTCAGACATAACTTCAAAATAATAATATGAAATTTCGATCTTCCCTTTACTTGTCCTCAACGTGTTTGTCCAAACGCGTCTAAAGAAAACAATCTCCGTCATTACTCCTGCATTACTTGTCAACTAGTTTCAAACTAGCTTTTTGTAGCTAACTACAAGTTATATATTTTAAAGAAATCCCGCAAAAAAACTAACTACAACGCGTTATTTTTTATCAATTGATAATTTTTTTCTGCAGGACAGATCCGTATGTACTATTTAAATTTAAAGAAAAAAAATATTTTTAAAGTTAAGTTATTGGGATAATTTATGTCGCTATCAATAAATTTTTGCAGTAATCTTATCCACCGTTATGTTACGGAGTTCTTACGATTTTTTGCGGATTACATATTGAAAACAAGGTTGGTCTACTTTTTTCTAAAAGTTTAACCCATCAACTCGAACCAGAACGGTTCTTTTTGACCCACTGTTTAAAAAAATGGCTTATAGATGGTTAAAATGTCCACTAACATATTAAGCGCCAAATTTTTCTAAGGAGAACCGAATGTAATGAAAAATAATAGTAATTTTTACCAAAAAGGGGGAACTTTAACCCTTTGTAGAAAACGTTGCGATGCGAGGGAGCAAAACCTTCCTGGGGTTTGACCACCATTAAGGAATGCTAACGTAATTTTCACACAGCCACCTAGTACTTGTATACGTATGTGGGATCCCAGAATAAAAATAACGAATGGAAAAATTAGCAAAAAAAAGTGTTTGCTCTTTATTTAAAGTCTGTTTAAAATATAAAAAAAAATACTCAGTAAAATCAACTTGTCTTTGTTTTATCTCTAATAATTGAGGAGTTAGATGGAATGAGTTAGATGAACAGAAGCTGCTTCGGTTAAAACTGATTTCTGAGATATTGGCGTTAAAGTTTTTGATGTGTTATAACTTTATTGTTGTTGTAGTATTGGAAAAAGTTGTCTACTGCGGAAAAAAATCGTTAGATTACTAGTATTCGACCCTAATTTAACTGTAATAAACGCTTTCGATCGTAAATATGTTACCTATGTTATTAAACGAGTAGTATTTAGTTCCTTCAAACGATGTATGTATTTCAATGTGCATACGTGAAAATTTTGTACAAAATTCCTTAGGCGCCGAACGCCGCCGCCGCCGCGCTTATATTTTCGTAACTCGGCGGCGGCGAGTGAGGAATGACAAANTAAATATGTTACCTATGTTATTAAACGAGTAGTATTTAGTTCCTTCAAACGATGTATGTATTTCAATGTGCATACGTGAAAATTTTGTACAAAATTCCTTAGGCGCCGAACGCCGCCGCCGCCGCGCTTATATTTTCGTAACTCGGCGGCGGCGAGTGAGGAATGACAAAAATCGGCGGCGGCGGCGGCGGTGTGGCTCGGCGGCGTATACCTCTAATCTGCATGCCGTTGTTTAGCGCTGCGATTAGTAACCGATTTGGTGTACGCCTATATCCGCGGCATATATCATATATGCCTAATTACATACACACATACATATCGACGTACTTACATATGTGCGTAAATTGGTTGTTATTAGTTGTGTTTTTTTACAAATTATCCACTAACTTGCCAGTAACTCT